GAGGGCGGGAAAGGGGGAGGGGGAGGGGGATGTCAGTGCTGGGCGGCGCTTTCCTTTCTTCAATCAGGGCCTCCCATCGATTTGCGCCGATTTGCGCCTCCATATGCACCCTGACCACCATCATCACCCTCACCACCACCAGCAACAACAAGAACAACAACAAAAACGATTGTTCTTTTCTTTGTCCCATTCCTTTGGAACACACCCTCGGAGAATAGGCCACGTTGCAGTCCTCCTTGGACATGGTCGAAGCCGCCCTCAGCGGGATTCGATCCGCGGACTCGACGCTTGTGGGCGGAGTCACCATCGCGGCTGTGCTGGCGGTGGTCATCCGGTCGCTGGTGTCCATGGCGGGAGCGGCGCTCAGCCGTACGCGGGGACCTGGCGGCGGCGGGGGCGAGGCCGGCGGCGGCGGCGGCGGCTCCGCCGCCGCCGCTGCGCGCATGCGACCCGTGGGTGTCACAGCTCTGGAGGCCGCGGCCGCCCTCAATAACGACCCTCAGGCCCTGCTGCTGGATATCCGGTGAGTCAATGATTTGGATCCATCTGGATCTTTCGAAAAAATACAATTCGAAAATACTTTTCTGCAATCCTGCCCCCCCTCCCCTCTCCCCCCTCCCCTTTCTCCCGTCCCCCTCCTAACCCCCGTTAACAGCAACGGCTCCGACGTGCAAGAGCAGGGGCTTCCAGACCTGAGGCCCTTCCGCCGCGGCGCCGGTGCAACCACCGTACCGCTGCCGTACTGCGACTTCCGTACCACGCCCACCCTCGCCAACCCCTCCGGCAGCCTGCTCGCGGCGGCTGCCGCCACTGGCCCCGCTGCTGGGTCGCCCCGCGGGGGCAAGGCCGCCGCCGCCGCCGCCTTGGCGCCTGTGGCGGGCCCCGTGACGGTCTCCGTGGATCCACTGTTTTGTTCAAAATTCAAACAGCTGGAGGGACTGAACCGCGACAGCCGGGTGTTCCTTATGGACTCGTGAGTGGCCGTGAGGAAGAGGGAGAAAGGCGGGGGGGTGGTGAAGTCGGTCCAGTCGTGGGAAAGAAGAAGGGGCGGAAGGGGGAGGTTGCGGGTTTCTGTTACCTGCCGAGTTTTTGGTGTCCCTGCCCTGGTGTCTCATCGCCCTCTCACGTCTGGTGGTGTATTCTAGAGCACTGCGTCACTTTCCCCACCGCCTTGCCAGTCTTTTCTTGGCATCAGCTTCACTCCTTCGTGGTTCGTCTTACCCCCCCCTGCGGTTCCCCCCGCCCCCCCCCGCCCCCTCAGTTACGGCGTGGAGGCGCCCGAGGCCGTGTTGCTGCTGCGGTCCGACCTGGAGGTGGAGGGACTGCTGGGGGCTCAGGTACACCTAGCGGTGGTGGGGGAGGGGGAGGGGGAGAGAAAGGGAACGAGGGAGGGGAGAGGCGGACAACGGGCCGGGGGGCTGGTGTTGCGGGTCTTGTTGTCCCTTCGTCCGGTTGCCTTTGGTTTTACCCTATCTGTTTTCTCCTTCTACGTGCATTCCTCATCAGGTCATGGTGGGGTTAGGGTGTTCGGTCGCCGCGCACCATTTTCATTTGAAACTCTCTCCCTCTCTCTCCTCCCTCCCCGCCAACCCCCTTCGCCAGTAGTGCGTCTTCGTCTTACCCCCCACCCCCCGGCCTATTGTTTGGACCTCTCCGCGGGTCTCCGATCCCTTTGCTTGACGCTTGACCATTTGCTTCTTGCACCCCCCCCTCCCCGACCCCCATTCCACACCCCACCCCACCGCACCGCACAGGGTGTGAAGTTCGTTGAGGGAGGCTTTGCGGGGCCTGAGGGCTGGAAGGTGAGTCAGCTGTACGACAGCTGCAAGTCAGGGTTCCCGCCATGGGGGGAGAGCTGAGGGTTTGGAGTTGGCAGCGGCGGTATGCGGGGTGGGGTTGGGGGCGTAGTGGTGGTGGTGGTTGCGGTGGTTGTGCGACGTCTCTGTCCTATCCGTCCTTGGGCTAGCTCCAGGTTAGCAGCCTGCTTGTTTGCGTGATCTCCGTCTGTTTGTCTGTTTGTCTCCCCTTCCCCCCGCCATTTGCCCAGCCTGACCTCAACCCACTCACCCTGTTGAGTTCCTTTTTGATATTTGCAGGTTTGCATATTCACCCATTCACCCCC